GGCAGGAGTGAAAATTGTTCAAAATAAGTTGTAATGAGGAAAAAGGGATTAGAAAGTGTCCGAAACTTTTAGGTTCAATAGTATCAGCTACGACGTGTACAAAATGTCATGATTGCTTTTGTATGAATTGTTTTCAAATGAGTTATAACTGTTTTCTTTCAAGAACGAAGTGGAAGTCCACTTAGTTTTTGGTTAGTTTAGGAACCTATTTCGAGATTGTAGTCCAGTTTTTTCATACGTACGGCATGAGTATGTTACATAGATATGTAACAACATAAAACATTTTGTCGAAAAACCGAATCCTCGGAAAAATCACTCTTGAAGTCCCTGACACCCCATGGGTGTCAGGCGGCCACAGGGAGCAAATTGGGCCTGACACCCCATGGGTGTCAGGCGGTCCGGAAAGGGTTAACCGAAACGCCTTCAGCTTCCACAACTCCATCCCCTACATGACCTTTTGACCCTCGCCAACCCCAAACACGACCCCACGAAAGATTGATCCTGCCTAGCGGTCGGGATTCAGGGAGCAACCCACTACAACTTCTAACCACGAAAGGTCATTTGGTCAACCCGTCCAATTGAAATGAGATGTATATGCCTATACGCGCCTTCGGACGTTTATAGCATTACCGTTGTTCAACGCACATTTCTGGTTGGAGAGCGCAGACGAGCAGAAAATAGGCGCCAAATAGCGCCAGCGCCGAGAATGAATGTCATATTCGTAATCAGGACACCAAATAACCCCTATACGGAAGTTTACACCAAATTTGGTGAAAACAGGTGTCGTGACAAGGTGACGCCAAATGGCGCCACCGCTAAAATGAAAGTCATTTTCGTAATCAGGGCATCGAATTACCTCTATAGGCAAATTTACGGTAGTTTCTAAGGTGTACAAAATTACACTGCACGAGCGGAGGTGTTTTACGTGATATCGGCGCGGGCTTATCTACCGGAAATTAGGGTAATTCCAATGCAACCCCTTCTCTCCCCTCACCCCGTCGTCCATGATTGGTCAACCCAAAAAAGTGGAGTTTGAGGAGTGGTAATCCCATCACTGCTCCGCTTTTTCTCAATTAGTTCATGACCTCAGATTTGGCGAAAAACTCGTTTTTAGGGTAGTTTGATCCCCTGAATACGAATATCGTACCTACTTGCCACGGAAAAGCATAGCACCTGCACTACGGGCACCATGGGCACTCACAAACAGATACACTGCGTTGCGTAAATATAAATCCGCCTGAAAATTTGAAAGAGCCGGAAAAAGGTGGATAGAGGTGGTGGAGGAGTGGAGGCCAGCTGTCAATGGTGGGCGGGGCTTGACCAAAGTGGGCGGAGTTTGCGACGAAAATTCATAACTCGGCTCCAAGAAGTCCCGGAGGCCGGGAAAAGGTGGATAGAGGTGGGTGGAGGAGTGGAGGCCAACTGTCATTGGTGGGCGGGGCATGACCAAAGTGGGCGGAGTTTGCGACGAAAATTCATAACTCGGCTCCAAGAAGTCCCGGAGGCCGGGAAAAAGGTGGATGGAGGTGGGTGGAGGAGTGGAGGCCAGCTGTCATCGGTGGGCGGGGCTTGACCAAAGTGGGCGGAGTTTGCGACGAAAATTCATAACTCGGCTCCAAGAAGTCCCGGAGGCGGGAAAAGGTGGATGGAGGTGGGTGGAGGAGTGGAGGCCAGCTGTCATGGTGGGCGGGACTTGACCAAAGTGGGCGGAGTTTGCGACGAAAATTCATAACTCGGCTCCAAGAAGTCCAGGAGGCTGGGAAAAGGGGTTAGAGGTTGGCGAGGAAAGGAGGTCAACTGCTATTAGTGGGCGGAGCACGCACCTAAGTGGGCGGAGTTTGCCAAAAGTGTCGTAATTTGGTTCCAAGAGGTCCCAGAGACCGGTGAAAAAAGGGGTAGAGGTCGGCGAAAGGAAGGGGGCCAAATGCTATTGGTGGGCGGGCACGCACCGAAGTGGGCGGAGTTTGCCACGGGACTTATTGTCAA